TATTTATATCCTCGGCATTGAGCGATGGTTTAGTCGCCACCTAGTTTATGGATGTTTAATTAGTGATTTTGTAGGAAAAAAAACCCGGGCCGTTTAGTTTTGTGCTTGGAAGTTAATTTTTCAACCCAGCACAATTTCAGCAAACCAGCGTCAATGTTCTGTTGCGGTATAAACTTTCTTGCGCTGGAATTTCAAACTTTTCTTTACTTAAAAGCCGGCTGAACATATACTTCGTTTGAAATTTAATGATGACGTTCTTTAATGTAATCAGCACTTTATCTCGCAAAGTGGTATTTAGTAGAACGCCGCCATTATTATTTGGCGTGGATACTGCTGACTGGGACAAACTGCGCCTTTGGCAAAGAGTCTGTGCGAATTAGGGACGACACTGTGTCGAATCAAGCTACCGTAAATTGTAGATACTAACACAGTCCAACTTCTCCTTACAACACCTCATATGAGACATATAACACGGACACGTCCTATTTACCCCCTACCCCCACCCTCACCTGAAACTTTTTGTGGTCTTTGATTTGAGAAGGAAACGGCCTGAGCGTCTTACGACTAGCTTAAGTCAAGAGAATATCTCTTGCTTAAGTCGATTAATATAACTGAGGGGTCCCAGTTTTGAACGGCAAGCAGTTAAAAAAATAAAGGAATTACAAAAACTGAAAGACTACAAACACAACTGAACTTAACCGCCAGTGATCCGTGGCAGAAGACACGGTACCGTCACGAAAACTGTCAGAAAACAAAGTCAACAAAACAGGGATTTTTATCCTTGTTAAGAAGCTGTAATGACAGCTTGACGCAGAACTAATGAAAAACTGTTCTTTAGTGCTTATGTGCGCTGATCTTCTTAATCTTTTTAGCAGGTGTCAGTTTTGTGACGTCGGTGATTCTAAACCGTTTAAAACTAATAATACTAGATATCTAGAAGTTTCGTTAAAAGGTTGTCGGTAAATAATTGTTTTATCAAAATCCTGAACGTCAATAGAACGTAGAAATGTTCTTTTACAGGCGAAAAATCGGTGTTAAAAGATTTTACTAGTTTGTGATATTTTGCCCTGAAGTTCCTTGCACATTGCGTAAATTTCATTCGGGACAAAAATTCAGCTGGGAAAAGATAAGAAAGAGTTTCTGTCAGAGAAGGAAAAATTGCAATTATCTCTTTAATGGACCGTTGGCTAATCGTCTTTTAAAGTGAAATAAAAATCCTCTTTAGACGTCATTATTGGGCCCGAATTTCCCAAAACAAGGAGATCTAAATGTTTCTAACTTAAATTAGTTAAGTGCATGTAAACACGTAAAATGGCATGAAAATGACTGTATTTGTTATCACTGAGTCAAAATTTTGTATGATTTTTAGGTGAAATGCTCGCTAAAAAGTGGTTTCTTTCTCATAATCTCCTTCCTTGCCCAGAAGGAATAACTTCATTACCTTGTCCTCTCACCGCTCCAGGCACTGAGACCTTAAAACAATTTTGTGAGACAAAAAGCTGGACAGTCTTGATACTGAAGCAATAATATTTATTTTGGCTTGTCATCCTTCTCCCGAGAGAGAAGAATAAATAAACAACAACCGAGAAAGGCCGCACAATCTAGCCGACAACACGAAAGATAGTATTTAGTCTCTGGAATGATAACATTTCGCTTTCAACGAGGATAAAGATTGTATCGACTGAGAAATTTGAGAAGATGTACGGACATTGTCACATTCTTGAGGGAGACTGGAACTAGACTCGTTAAACCAAAATGGCGGCAGTGGGCGAAATATTTATATGAATCTTCATACGAGAGAAACATGTGGGGTTAATGTTGATAAACAGGATTTCAACTTTAATGAAGTCGAGGACGTGGAATCTCTTCCGATGAAGCATTTCGATAATGCGTTTGGGACCGTTTTGTCTGCACAAACCTTCGCTGAAGTTATTTTTGGCCTGTAGTTTTACGTTCGTCCTAACTTTGTACGTGTTTTGGAATGGATGTGAAGTTCCTTCAAATAGCCCCACAAAGAAACTCGAACAGATAAGAGGTGTGCCACAAACAGTCTTAGATTGCTCTAAAGTAATTGCTAAAACAAGCAATGAAGAAGACGAGCAAAGCATAGGGACGGAATTAAATAAACCCGCAGACCGAAACGTTTGCCCAAGCGACGAGCGAATTGACGTGGTGGTAAACGGCGAAAAGAAATTGGACGGGAGACTCGTGGGGAGCGAAGCGTTCGTTCCGTTTTCTTTCGTAAAGGAGTATTTTGATATTTATGGCGAACTTCAAGAGGTAGATGGAAGAACTGTCTTGGATTGGCGGCATTCCTATTCAGAAGTTCATTCAATGAAACCGGGAAGTGTTTACGAGACGAAAGGCCCGTTTCTCTGGTTTGAAACTTATCATGTCGAAGGTCGCACTCGAGTTAAATGCATTAGCGGTGTCGAAGAGGTGCCCGTTTCATCGCAGTGGTACTCAAAGGGACATTTTTATCCTATTCAAATCGCGCAATATGGTCTCTCGCACTACAATATATTACAAATCGAAGGTGACTCGGATGGCAAGGAGAAAATCTTCGAAGATGCTGAAAGTGTCTCAGATGTCAACTGGAACTGGGTCGCGCCGAAGGGCGCACAGATGGTTAATGTGTTTGATAAAGAGCAAAATTCAAGAGTCTTCCAGTTTTCCACGGCAGGTAAGCTTTTGATTTATCGTTGCTCGCTTTTGTGTGCGCTTTTGTTGGGGTAAGAATTATTTTTGGATTTTCTAGGTGACAGCTCGGCGTGACTTTAATTTTAACACCAGTTGTAATTCATTGCACCTCTCTCGGATGCAAATTAGCGACACTTGAGATTTTGGTTGTGTTCATTTTAGTTTGCAATCTGAGAACTTTTATTTTAGGACAAAAGTAGCGATTTCCTTTCGTTGGGTAATCTGTTTGTTTTTTAATTTCTCTCCAAGCGTATTAAAATATCCGGTACAATCTTTCTATGGCACCGACAAAAGCTAGGTAAACATTATCAAAGCACGAACCCCTTGTCTTTCGCTTCAATCGGATTTCCATTTCTTAAGTCTTTTAAAAGATGAAATATCGACACCCAAACGAGTTAAGATTATGGCAAAAGAACCTTTCCATTCATTTTAGGGTATCTAATCATTGTAGTTTATAAAGAATATTGTTCGTTAATCAAATGCGCGGAGAAGATGTCCTATGTAAACAAATTCCAAAGTTTCTTGCTCAAGATAAGCAACCTTTATCTGGGAATCTGCCTTGTGATTTTCTTATGTGATAACTCGATCGCACATAATTGAGGTTCAAGAGTATAAAAAAATGTGCCAACGAGGAGACGAAGAAATACTGCTTTCCCCTACCGTGTTTAATGTGCTTTTAATCATTTAAAGAAAAGTTACATCGGCTCCCTGCGCAAGATCCTTGAAGCGTCACAAAGAATGTACAAAAATTTGATACCACCGCAGATCGCGATAAATGACTGACTATTTTTTTCCTTTCAAAACCGATTTGAGCTGTGTGGGAGGTGTCTGCCAAACTAATTTGCCGTAACTTCTTTTGAGTACCACACAAAGATCAAGTGACACAATTCTTGAAGTTACGAGTCGTGGTGCTTGTTTTATATCTTGTAGCAGGCACACTTCTGTAGTTTTCACCGACAGAAACTACTGAATTAATTGAGAGCAACAATGCACAGCTACTATCTCAGTTTCCAGGTTTTAGATTCCCACTTGATAAACCTTTCTAGACCGGTGTTATCCTTATCTCTCTTAATGTTTTTTTTTTGGTCTGTGAATTTACATTGTTGTTATCAAGTTTCTGTTGGTTTGAACTAAGTCAACAAAACTACTCTTGCTATTTTCGCCAACTGATATTGTTCCAGAGTGTGTCTTGGCCGTTCTTTGTTATTAGTATATATGTTGCTCTCCAGGGAAGGCGGCCCCACATGAAGGGGGTCATCTATGCAAAGTATGCTTTGTATAAATTGTTTATTAAATATTAAACACTGTAGATATTTGCCTCATGCAGAGATGTGCTATGCTTCACAAAGTTTTGTTTCGTCAACACTCTTTATCTCTGCACAACCTTTGCATCCCAGCAGAAAAAAAATCTGTTTTCATTAACATTTCATGAGTATTTTTTTCCAGTGATGCACAGGCGAGTTTGCAAAGCTTATGCAAGCATCCCTTCTTTTGCTTCCTTACTGAATAAAATCTCTTTACTCTAAAGGTGAAAATCTTCCACCAATGCAAAAGTTTCAAGAAACAGCGGTCTTTGTTGTACTCGTTTTCATAGTAAACTTATGGGAAACACATTTTAATAACAACATGATATTGATCTTTGTTGAAACAAGAGCAACTTTGGCATAAAAACACACCAAAAGTGTGTATTTTTGCTACCGGATAAAGTACTATAACTATAGAAAAAGAGCAAAAATATCATTAAGCTTCAGATGTTTGTCCTGTGTAAGGTAGAGTTGTTTTTACTTAGTTACTTGCCATTTGAACTCTGCATGTGACCGAATTTCGAGAGAAGTATGAAATTATACAACACAGTATGTTATGTAAAATTATGAAACAGTTTTATTCCAGGATATTTATTCATAGAAAAATATGTGCTGGTACTTTTTTGATGTCAGATGGGTTTTGCTTTCCCAGTGCTTTTGTTTGCAGATGTTGGAAAACATTCTTGGTTAATGAATGGAGGTTTTATTTCCTAGCAACATCTAAAAGCTTTTAACTGATTTTCTGATAAAAGAATATTACATCAGTGTGAAAAATAGAGGTGGCAACATTTGCCCACAGGAAGTATGCCAATTTCCTGCAAAGATCTGTATCAACTGAGTGTGAAATTCCAAGATTATGTGTTCTGAACGTAAGGTCCTTTATTTCAATCTCAATGTATTATCATTTATGAAGCAACAAATTTAAATTTGTTTACTGTAACTCCTAATAAGTTACAAAAGTATATCTTCATTTCGCTCTAGGTTGTTCTTGCACTACAAGTAAATGTTAATGTAGGAATATGTTGAAAAGTAAATGGGTTATTGAATAGTCAAGAGCCTATTAGTTGAAGCATTCAGTTACCTGTATTCAATTATAGAAATGTTAATTTAAGGCAATATACCACCGACTGTGTAACTGACTAATTCCAGATAATTTCTAAAGCCACAATTATCTTCAGTTGTTGTTATCATATTGGTTTATTTAGTGACCTAGTTTTCAAGTTTTAGTGGCTATGCCAAAGAGATATGGTTTTCAATTTAATTCATTTTACTGCCAAATGTGGATAAATTCTATTATTAAACTCTTTAATGATAATAAACATGTTATTATGATGAACCAAAGCAAGTTGAAAGTAAAGCAATAAAGAAATCAGATAATTAAAATTGGAAAAGAAAATATTAATTTTACACTGTATTATTAAAACAAATATCTCTGCACTAGCCAAGGATTACCATGGTATCAGGTAAGACGTTATTAAAAATGTTCATAGCTGGAGTGTTTCTATTATTAATATATTTACTAACATAACTAACATAGGAAAAGAAAAGGAAAAAATATACAAATCATAAAGTTTCCTAATACAAATAAAACTTCTCTAATAAATTGCTGTAAGTAAATAATAAAGAGAAAAATCTCTTAAAAAGTATCCAACCAAAAACTAATATATGTAGACCTTCCAGAGTGTAAAAAAGAAGAACAGGCACAAAATCACTCACACTCCTGTCCAGTTAACTTTGGCCCTGAGTAAAACACTTTTTTAGCTGACACTGGAGTCGTGTTGTGGAGAATCTGTCATTCAGAGAGAGCGTACAAATTAAAATCAGGAACCAAATAGTGAAATTATTTGCTGTCTCAAAGGACGAATAACTACAATTAAAAATTCTTGATTTGCCGTTTAAATTGGAAGAATGTGTCGAGAATTTAATTCTAATGAGGACAAAGAATGATGACTGACTACATTTCATCAGATATTTGATTCAATGAAAGCCCTCAGAATCTGATATCAAGGAATTTTCTTGCAGCAACTGGAATTGTTGAGACAGAGCAACAGAGGGTAAAATATGTAGCTACCATTTTCTGATAAGTAGATTCTTAATTCTGTGAAGATAAGGCTGGATCAGATATTTGTGTTTAGTTTCAGTGTAAAGACTTAATTTGTTTTCAACATGCTAAGAATAAGTTAAATTAAAATGTCCAGACTAAGTTGGCCTCTGAGCCGTTACCCTAATAGTAGTCAACACCCAAGTTGGTTAGGAAATAGAACTTTTCACAATGAGTTGTTTGTGAAAGAAGTGAAAGGAGCTTACACATGTTTTTGCCAAGTGGTTAGAATAGAATTTTTTCTCTGAGTAACCCTGAGAAATTGATGGCTAAACAGGATAAAGATGAGTTGATGAATAAATTGTTGTGTCACTCCATGGCCAAACTTCTTAGGACTTGGATCAAAACCTTGGAAGTTTGAGAGCATATGTCTTTGTCTTGTTAACCTTTTTGAAGAGATTATAAATGGCCATTGGGCTTTTCCTCCAAACTTATATTTAAGCCACCTATGATACACTACTTTGGAAGGAATTGGGCAAGATGATTTATAAACTTCATCTGCAAATTTGTGAGAAGTTTATTAAGATGTTTTTTGATAGAAATTTGCATTGACCCAAAATTTGAAATCGGGTACAAAAAATAAGTGAAAAATCTCTTTCACCTTGTACTTATGTGCTTGGTATAACCAGCTTATGTTGGATATATGTATAATTATTACAGCACGATCACACCTTAGCTGCAAAGTGTTTACAGAAATCATTTATTTTGCATTGGGTACAATATTGTTCTTTAGGAGCATATCTTAACAGTGTCCACAATTTAAATAAATTCCAGTAATTTAAGCAAAGATGTGAAAAGAAGATGCACTACTTATAGCCTAAATTGATGGTATAATGTTCGTCAAAGTGTTGTAATGTTTTAGCCCTTTGTTTGCTGATGCCTTCGGCAATGCCAAGAAGGAGGGAGACAGATATTCAATTCCATTTTAAGTACAGAGAAGGGATTCTCTTTCTTGTATAGTACCTGCAGGCCTCTCTTTCTATCACAATTAATGTAATTATTAAGGGTAACCACAAATATCTCTTCTATTTTGCCGTTTATCAGTTCAAAAGTATTCATGTTAGAAGAGATTAAAACAGGGTCTGTTAGGGCGTTGGTCTCCAGGGCACGGGCCTAAAAATACACCAGGGCCTGAGATAAAACAGAAAGGCTCTAGTGCGCTGTGTAGCTTTATTGGGACAGAGAACGGACGTAGACCTCTAGGAAAAAGAAAGCCTTGGTTTTCTAGGCTCCATAGCCAAATCTTTAGGACTTAAGAGAGTTTTTCCTCTGGGACGGTGAACCCAACAAAGGAGAATTAATTTCGGATTTGATAATGAATGGTTTATAATTATTGTTCTCTGCATTGAGTTTTGAAAATTGTTCATTGAGGCAAGTCGGCACGAGGCAAGAAACTTGTGTAAACAGCAAATGTCTTTTGTCACGTTCGCTGACAAGTATGTATATGTTGGCAGTCTTCGCTATCTCGCGCCAAGACGCCTGATCAATTAACAAGTGCTTCAATTTAGCAGTAATACTTTATCTTGTTATCACAGGTGTCCGGAATCGTTTAGATCACGAGAGCCGCGAAATCCGCAAAACCACTCGCATTTCGATGCGTGTCTGCTTGTTTGGGGCAGTAACACTCCTCTACTCTGAGAGTATTCTCGGTGTTTGAAACTGCGTCAAGGACTGAAGAAGTCTGCCTTCTTTGACCTGTGTAAATCTGGGTTTAATTCCGTCGACGTCTCATTCAAACAACGAATTACAACCATATGTCCACTCTCATTTGGGAATTTGAGCTCGATAAAGGTCAACCTGAAGAAAGGAAAATAAGAAACGATTTGATTCTGGTGTGAATTTGAGAGTGAAATGGAGATGATTGTTGTTTATTTTATGGATTTTTATTTAGCTGTATTTCATTCTTCTCATGGAATTTCACAGGCGCACTTTTCGTAACGACGTGAAGTTTTTACCGATATATGTTGCGGCAACTATTACAAAAAGTGTTTCTGTTTCAACGATTTCGCGGTCTAAAGAAAAGGAAATCTTTAGACATCTTTGGTCATTTGTGGCTGGGGGTGTAAAAAACGTGGACAAATCCCCCCCCCCGGGGGGGAGGGTACTTCCTATTAATAGGCTAATGGGGATGGTGCCGCTTCATAAGGTCGCATTTTCACGAGTGAATTGGGGAAGAAAATTCTTGCAAGTAGGGATTTAGAAATGGGAAGAATCGATGTGAAACCGTTCTACCGAATTAAACAAATGCGTCACGTCATATTAGAATTAACTTTATCAGGTAGATTCGTAAACAGAAAGTGACTCAGTCGGGATCGTGAAAACTACATTTGCCCAAAGTATATAATGGGCTACAGAATAGACCATAGTGGTGTAGGGGTTCTGAGAGCTGTCGACACATACCCAGTAAAAATTGACTCAATTACCCTCCCTCCCCCACCCCCCGGGCCGGGGGACGAATCTCTTTATGAAGGGAAAACCGGAATTCGAAAAAGTCGCTTAAGTCAAGTTAAATCGGCAAAATGACCACACCAGGAGCAAACAACACGCGTATGGAATAAGGTAACCCATTTTTTTTTGAGAATTTTCACTTTTAACAACCTCCGTGGATATCTTGGAGAAAATCCCATTGAAACCCTTACAATTCGATGCCATATCGTGTTGCTTGTGTGGTTCATAGAGAGAGCTTGGGCTGCCTGTGGAATGAGGAGGATTTTGTGTTCAAATTACTGATTGGCATGTTGACTTTTCTATTTTGCGGAAGCGTTTGCTTTGAAAAACCGATTTGAGGTGTCTACTTTCTCGGCCAAAGTGTTCACACTCCTCAGAGATCCCACAAGGAACTTCTCTGTAAATATATTGGTCTTGAGAGGCTGATAACTCAGGGAGAAAACGTGGGAAAATATTTTTTCAAACCGTTTTCAAAATATATCTAACAGGGTGCACAACCAAAGAAACTTGTTGCAGAGAGAGGAAAGCTAATTTACTTTTTTGTGCGACTTGAGAAATGAATGACAGTGAAAAAATGGCTTCACCTGCGTTGCAAGCGGCGTAAATGGGGAAAGGGTAGGGAGGAAAAAAACGCGAGGAAGAAAAGAAAAACGTAAAAAAACGTGCTTTGCCTCCCCCGCAGGCTAAAAATGGCTATGCGAGAATTTTACGTACAAACAGCTCTAGTCTACTCGTACAACTGGAGGTTTTTTTTGCGATGCAAGATGCACAAATAGAATTGTTACGTGTTCTAAGACTTTTATTTATGTTGGTTTATTTTTATCTTTGCTGGTCGATAAACGACTGTGCTTCATAAACTAGCCGGGGGGTTGAGAAGAGAATTATCTCTTCAATTCCTTGAATCGGCTCGAAAGGTTTACGATTTATTTTAAACTACCGAAAGCAGATTTTGCCCGACGTTTGATTTCACTGTGTTTGAGAGGCGTTGTCCCCTGTTTACACTGCAAGCATTGCATTGGATAATGTTTGGCGAAATATTTACTCTAGTGTTAATAATCGTTTGACTCTTGCCATTTGCCGTGACTGCTGAAAATTCGAAGAAATAAATAAACGAGTGTTTTTATCCAGAAGGAAGGCGAAGGTTGGCGAAAGACACGAATGTTTTACTGGAAATACACCACTCGTAAAATTCATACGAAAGTACATCTGGGACCCGAGTCGGGGTATTTTCTATATCCTCACTAGTATGAACTTTAATGACGTAATTTTCAGCTTTTCACGGTTATTTTTGCAAACAGTCAGAATTTTTGGATTATTAATAGAGGGGGGTGAATAGATTTTCGGATGCGGGACAAGTTTGGCGAAAAAAAGGCACGGATCGGCGGATTTGCATACCCCTATTCACCCCCCTCTCAATAAAAAGAAAATTTCACGGTGGCTTGCGCTCGTCCGCAAAATATTGTGTTTAAGAGGCGAAAATACAATTCCTATCGTCATGCCGCCGTGTAATATCCTCTAGATACTTTATTGACAGTCTTCTTGGACAGGCTCCAGAAAGTGTTGTACATTAGCTACAATCAGCCTCACTGAATTAAGGATCACTGAAGATTGGATGACAATCATGAGAGAGGTTTACCAGCTTCTCTATTTTTTGGCTCTATTTGATGCCAGTATTGTAACATCACTTGATAAGGTGTGGGAGTATTAACTCGTGTAAGGATACTGTTGCCAGCCACCTTTAAATTCCGCATATAATAAGCCCCCCCAAAAATGGCTCAGACAAAGTAAAGCCCTCCGATTAAAAGTTTAATCTCTAAAAGGACGATATGATCGTTTGCTGTTGTTAGCTTCCTTCTGTTTCGTATTTTATGTCGTATAAGTGTTTTTCCATGATGTTTTTGGACGACTTTAAAGCTTCTTTTGTATTTCATATCGTCGTATGTTGGGATCTTTGTCATACAGAATTCTTATGTGTACCAGGTAAACCTTTTCAGGCGAAACATCGCTTCCAAATTTAAGAAGGTTTGGATGGGGTTTAACTGTTAGCTGAGAATTAGCTGACAAATGATACATTATTGTTACTGATAGTTGTGATACAAGATCTGCAAAGTCTCTTACAGTTTATAATGGCTGGAATTTTAACTGATAGCCGAGAAATCGAGAAGCTAACAAATAACTGAGACTACAGTATGTTAGAAACGTGACAAATGTACTTCCGATTCTAAGTTCCTAATCCGTCGGAAAATAAGCCTTCCCTAGGATAAGCCCACAGAAAATCTTAAGAACAGCAATTAGTCCAGGGGTGTTAGTTTTATATGAGAAAAGTTGTTAGTGTCTGAAAAAAGTGTTCTGTTGCATCAGCAGGGAAGTGTTAACTGAAACGTCAGCTTTTCCTAATTCGCTACGGCGGTTAATTTAGCGTAAATTAAGCGCTTGGCTAATTCTTTTAGTTTTGATAGTCTGATGGAGATTTTCTTTCTGCTAGGCTTAACAGGAGAAGGGATTTCTCTAAGCGTGGACAGTGCGACCAAGGATTTCATCGTAGCTTTCGACCTCCTCCTTGGCGGCGAGGTGCGTGTTTCTATTGTCATTGAAACAGACAATTCGGATTTCTACACAGTACATTACACCTCTAATAACGAGTTAATTTCGTCGGCGGAGTCGGAGATTTTCTACGGTATAGGGCACTGGAATGGCTGGAGAAGGATTGTGCGGAATTTGGATACTGATTTGAGGAAAGGACTACGGGTTCCTGATGCGAAGAACGGGAAAAGAAGCAAGTTGTCTCTCACCGAAATCCAGAGCATCTCGCTTCACGGGAAAGGCTCCATTGACAACATTTCATTGGCGCATTCTGCTCATGCGCACTCGTTCATGGCCGCCGCAAGATGGTTCTTACGTCATCAGACCGAGCAAGGAAGTTGGCCAATCACGGTGAAGCGTAAAGTGATTGACGGGGTAACACTGCTCCCGAATTGGTACTCAGCCATGGGCCAAGGTCAGGGCATGTCTCTGCTAACCAGGGCCTATTTATACACCAAAAACCCCGTGTATTTAAGAGCAGCGCTTAAGGCGACTAAACTCTTTAAAATCAAGTCGAAGGACAAAGGTGTTTTAACCACATTCATGAACCAATACCCTTGGTATGAAGAATACCCCACCTCACCTTCACTGTTTGTTCTTAACGGCTTCATCTACTCGCTCCTTGGACTATATGACTTGAAGCTCACTGTGGGCCCGCAGCACGGCACCGAGGCAGCGGAGTTGTTTGATCAGGGGATGCGCTCGTTAAAAGCCATGCTGCCCCTCTATGACAGTGGCTCGGGCAGCTTTTATGACCTGCGTCATGTGACCATGCGTACCGCGCCAAATTTGGCTAGGTGGGATTATCACACTTTACACGTTAGTCTGTTATCGTTTTTGGCGAATATCGACCGGGATCCCATTTTAAGAACAACAGCAAATCGATGGGAAGGTTACGCTAAAGGAAAGAGAGCGAAACACAATTAACTTTAAAACGGCGATTTTTGTATCCACAGCCCAGTGACGTTCTTTGATATAGAAATCTTAATCTAACAGACTATTCAAGGTCATTCAACGCTGGTTTCGTTGTGACGTTTCCGAAGTTATTTATTGCACCGTAAAGCGCTTCCATCTCCCAGCAGACCACGCCCTTTGGAAACTTTCAGACGGTGCTCTTAGCGAAAGAGGTTTATCAGCAACGTACTAAAAAATTCAATTCTTATGACGTGGCACTGCTCAGGTCTGAGGACTGCTTCTGATTGGTTCCTTGTTGATTTGTATTTATTTCAACCAATCAGAGTCACTCGGGTCTTGGGTGGGCCAACGTCATCACTGTGCAATTTCGCTTCTGTTTTCAGTCCCTTGAAGGAGCAATTTTCGCAGTGTTAATCTTCTGGTTTACTTTGAAACATCAAGGAGCATACCAATATTGTAATCTGATTTCTTGAATTTCGTTATGCACAGACGTATATATACTTTTTTGTTTTACTTTTGTGGCTTGGTGACTGCCCCGAAATGTTTTTGATATATTTTTGGTAAACTCATAGTCGCTTTTATCGTGTGCAGGTACTGTTTTATATTGTACTCGTTTTAGAGTTAACGGCATTACCAAAGATGGATTATATGTGCCCTGATCATGACAATGAGACTCTCTGAGTGCTTACAAGCCAGAAAACTGCATCTTGGATACTACTTCCCACAATTTCTAAGAAAAAAAATTAAGTATGATTGTTTTTGATCAAGTTAAACGACCGCTCCTATATGATCGTGTCGAAATTTAGTGCAGTTTGAAACTAATACGAACACACCGTTGTGACTAAATGGTTGTGACTTACCACTGCATTCTTGTTAATGTTAGTGGCCGTTTATTTACCATGTCACGCAATATTTGTTTATGAGAGGAGGAATTTAGTGTTGCGTGACAGTCCAACGGAACGGCATCTAAAAGGCCGAGTAATACGGAGAACATTTACTGTCCACTAGCCGTGCAACATATCTGCGTTGCAAATTGAATAGCGATATTGTGTTTTCATGTCATGTTAACTTCGCACAACTAGCTACTTGCAACACGGGTGATAAAACGGGCAGTCACGCTTTTAAATATGCCGCCACATTCGTATTGTCGGTATTGGACTGGAACTAGCATGCAGGGGATCGAGGCTCATGCGGAGAAATATCGTAAAAAGAGATTTTAGGTCATTCGCATCAACCTCGTTCCCAAGGTCTCTCATCTTACCTCTCTTCGCTTGCTCCAGGGGGCGGTAAGATGAGAGACCCTGGGAACGAGGTTGCATTCGCATTTGAAACGACTTCCATTCTTAGCCTTGGTTGCAAGCCAGTTCCAGTGCAATGCCGGGAATACGAAAATGGTCTATTTGCATTGCAAAAATGTTGCGAGACGTTGAGGAAAACGCCGCCATGTTACTCAGCGTTGAGGCTACATTACTTTTGTTGGCCACGTTTGGTGTTCGCGAATTTTATAAGAATAACTAGAATTTACTATACAGATCAGAAGCACAGCTACCTCAACATAAAGTTTTTGGTCGCTTGTGAAAGTGATCTTCCAATTATCGGAGTTCAAATGGATGGTTACGTAACAATTATTCCACTGGCGCTTGTTGGATATGAAATGGTAGATAGCCAACGAGGCGCGTAGCGCTGAGTTCGGTATAATGACCTCATATCCAACAAGCGCGAGTGGATTGATTGTTTTATTAAAAACGCCCCAATATTACAGAACGCTCAACGCCCCAATATTACAGAAAACTGGACTGAAAAAAAAAATAAAAACACCTGAAAAAAAATCTCGCGTACGCTTACCATATTTGTAGAGCGTGATATTATGGCTCATATACCACGATGGCTAAGCTAATGAAAATTCTCGAATTGCATTATCCAGGGCTTTCACAAGTTGCTCGGCAACTTTTTGCATTCTGAGCAATTTCTAGTTTTCTACCATTTCTGAGAAATCAGAGCAGCTTTTAGTGCTTGAATTGGCCTTGCTTCTACCTTTCACAATGTTTCAGTAGACAACTTTATGAATTTCTTGTGAAAAAGAAGCCAGATTCCCCCTTCCCCCCTGGCAGATCATGGGTGCAAGATGCATGCAGCCGGGCTGCTAGGTCAGCGGGGTTTTTTTAACGAAAATTCAAAATGGCGGACAAAGATTCGCACTGACTCGAGTGTCTCGGGTTAAGAATTTTTACAAGATTAATATTAAATTGATGCGTAGTCTTTACTCAAACATTTTTTTGTTTTAACGGTGGACAAAGTTATTTAGCAACGCTGGTTACGCCGTAAAATTACACAAAAGTGCTTAGAAATCTCACTTATGTTGAGCAATTTGCATATTTTTGCATCAGACCAAATAAAGGAAGAGAGCAACTTTCGAGCAACTTTCGTTACAAAAAGCAACTTTTGATCTTTTTTGAACAACTTTTTGAGAAATTGCGGGCAACTTTTTGGGAAATCTCGAGCAACTTGTGGAAAGCCCTAAGAAGACTTCCTTGTCTGGAGATTTAGAGCAGTTACGGTGTTTGCAAGCATAGGTATGTAAAAGGGCAACTTTTTGCAATAACAGGAATACGAAAGGGTATCTTTTTCTGTCAAAACGGAATATCAAAGGTAAAGGGGTTGGACCTCCTGGCGGAGCCTCCCCGTAAAAAAAATTTTACCTTTTATGGAGCAACTTTTTGACAAATTGCGGGCAATTTTTTGGAAGATCTCCAGCAACTTGTGGAAAGCCCTAGCATTATCCAATGATCCAGTTTTTAATAATTCTTGACATACGACATAATTTAATTTTACTGAAACAGTCGTTCACTGAGTTTTCCTGTAAAAGGAATCCCTCTGACTTGTTTAGCAAGCAAACCATTCGAAAGCTAAGTGAATGTTTGGAGTTTCGTTAAAATGAATTTACGTGGGACATTTCTTTCTTGGTTTCTCAATATACCAACAAGTTCGTCTAATATACCCTAGAGGACCTCCCAGGGGGATAAAAGTTTTCTCGAACCCTGAAAAATTTTGCATTTTTTCCCCTTGCTCCCCATTAATGAATTCCCGCTCTCAGCTAAAATTGTTTAGCGAAAGTAATATCCCTAGCTCCCTCTAATCCGAAAAATATTCTTTGATCCCTTGAAATAAATGATCTGGAGACCCTCACCCTGGGGAAAAAATAAACTGGAGACTGTTTAGAGATTGTCATTGTGGAATGGAAGGGCTGTGTTAATTTGTCGAAGAGAACATTGACTTGATGCTGCGAAATAGCGCGAAACTGCGCTTACTGACAAATTTATCTCTCTTCCACATTCCTAGGAGAAAAATGTCGTCACTTTCATTTCCCAGCAAGCAAGCATACAAACAACAAGGAATATGCTGAAAAGGGCGTGGTTAAAAAGCCTAAGGGTGCGTTTCTTTAAGAAAATCCGAGACCGGATTCTTAAATCCGAAAGAATCCGAAAACGGATTTTGCGTTTCTTTACTAAACAGATCAATCCAAGATCTCTCGGATCATGGTGCGTCAAAGGAACCGAAGAATCCATTCTGGGAGTGGATTCTTCGGTGGCGTCAGGCAGCCGGAGGGAGGGTTATACCGCACTTTTCACCCAATATTGCAAAGAACTCAACTAAGAGGCTATGAGGGCTTTCATATTCGTTTTGTGTTCGTTGTTGTCCAAAGGTTACGCTAGCCATTGATAATTAGGGAGGTACGTTTTCATGAAAGTAAAGGGACTTTGGTAAGAGTTAACGAACAGATCGGCTAATCCACTGGCGTGAAAGATCTGGGCTCAAAATTATATGCATAGGCCGCCATCATCTCACATGTAAGGGACGGACCATTATTTTTTTGAGCAACGGAAGAGAAGGGGTTAGGCACATTTAGGTTGTGCACGAGCTTTTCTTTTGGTGGACAATAGCTTGTGCAAGAGTTTTTTAAAGTCAAACACAAGACCAGGATGTTAGAAAGCAATTGCTCGAATTTATTTCTTCATGGCTCCCCTTACACGATTATGTTTTTAGCCGTTTTTGTCGTGCAAGAATTTTTTTTGGAAGTTGCCCCACTCACCACCCCCTTAAAAAAATAATGGTCCGTCCCTAACAGTAGCCGGTTCGGCCGTTAGCCATGCCATTCCGCCAGAATTTGCTTCCAGGGCTAACGCTTTGCGACACTGAGACACGAAATTATCGTCCTCCGAATCAAATGACTTCCAACATTAGATAATTATTGCGCTTTTTAGTTGCTTCACCGGTGTTATCGGGACTAAGGTCTGGTTTCTTTTGGAAAATGGGCCCATCATCTCAGCCCGTCTAATTGACGTCTAAGTGATTATGAGCAAACAAAAGCACCAAGTGAAAGGACTTTATTACAAATCCTTTTACATACAAGAACGTTATAAATAACATTTATTTACAAATCACATCACGAGTTCTCTATAAGGAATGTTTCGAAATGTCGAAATACTGAAGTTACAGAACTTGCTTAGATTTCGCAAAGATCGTGTTCCGCTCAATAAGAAACTCGTTTCATCAACGAACTCTTTAATCCCTGCAAACAACATATCACTTCTCGTGACTGGCCATCCTACAGTTCCTCGAGCGGTGGTCGGTAATAAGATTTTTTATAAGATAATTCTTCCTTTTTGATCGATTCGTTAATTTCCATTATTTAGCGGAAGCTAAATGATCTCTTCAGTATGTCGCGAAACACCTTTGTTATTAAGTGAACAAAATTTAATATGTATGTACAGCTTTTTTATTCTTTTTCCGTTACGTATTACGTCTTTACAGGCCTTTTAGATATCAAATGATTTCAAGACAATCGGCTCTTATAGGAAATAAACAAAATTATACCCAAAATCTACAAAACAGAATGTATTAAATAAAATATAGTTTTAAAGCTTTTTTATATATGCCGTTACGCTATTCCCACTCTTTTTTAACGGTACTAAGTACGAGGGAGTGAAGTCATACTTCGCATAGAAAATAATGTGTGGTAGAAGTTCTTTTCCATCATTCGATGCTAATAAAATGAACGGAACGTTTTTTAACTCTCGTGTGTTAAACTCCACGGAAGAAAATAAAAGCACAAATTTCCAAAAATCCCCACCTAATTTTATATACGTTTAGTAAGAAATAAATAGGTTATTTCTCTCCGCAAGTTCAACAGACCTAAAATAAATTTTAAATATAAACGAAACAGTTCTGCCATTTCTATATTGGTTGTTGGGAAACGTGTAACTCGCAGACACCCCTTTTTAATAATTAACGATCTATGAACAATATGAAGAATGATCTTTAAATTATTTTTCGCTTTGAATAAATTTCTTTAGGGTTTAATTTCAACTGAAAACATGCTAAACAACTAGCCTAGTCATTCGATAAGTCTATAGTGACAGGTTTCTTGGAAGGCGAAGAATACACTCCAGAGCTGTCCAGGTTCTTCTTCACTACATTTTCAAGTTGTGAAGGGCTCTGCAGATTTCTATGATCCTTCTTTAGAATGCTCGGGAGCCAATGGTCGTTTTTTTCGCTTTCTAGTCTTTGTTGAGCTCGATTGTGCTGCCTCAAACACCGCATAAACTCTTCGTGTGGTAATAGATGTTGAGCGTGATATTTACTCTGTTGGGTCATCATAAGTTGTTGCTGCAGTTGACGATCCAGTGGTGTCGAGCCGAGCCCGTGAACCGGCACAGCGGCGTGCGCCAATTCCTCGGGGAACATTCCACGCGCGCCGCTACCATGGAGATGTAACAGTTCTGGATTGTGCCATAAAGACGGGTGGTTCCTCCAGGCACTGATTCCCGGGTGTTGTAGATAAGCTTGATCAATTGCCGATAGATTGGCAGCCTGTAAATTCTGTAAATGTTGCTGCTCGTGAGGATGAATGTGGAAGTGAGTGTGAAGATGAGAGTGCGAGTGTTGTTGAGGTCCGTAATACTGAAGCCCCGTCACAGGGTCTGTAATAACACGTCCTACGCCCCCTTTGAGAAGGGACTCGTGTGCTTGGCCACGCGAGTCCAATGCGCTTTGCTCCAGTACTCGCCCCTGCCCCTGAAGATAGGAGATAGCAGGGAGATGATGGCCAGCAGACTGCATGTGAGCAGTACGATATTGCGCATACCACTCGTCAAATCCTTCGGTAAATTTCGAGGCATTCCCCCTTGATTCCGCACCGGGGACAACGCCCATCCCTGAGAACATGTGCAAAGGAAGCATCCTATCCATGCCAGCGCTCGGATGCGAGAATCCCGGTATGTTGATGCCCTGGGATGACATACCCGGTGGGATGTTCGAGGGATACCAATGGTATTGTCCTCCCGCCATCATGTTGCGTAGCGACGCCTCGTAATGTGACGTGATGGTAGCTGGAGTGTCGTACGGTGAGTGCCTGGCACTTGAACGAGCCGGTGCTTCCGAAGACGATTCCACTCTAGCCTGAAAGAACAAAACAACAGATATCTTTGAGAAACACCCAACCATGTACACCATGTCTCAGCTTAAACCGGTTCTTGTTTTCTCTGTGGAGTCGTTTACGTCAAGTTTGTCAAAGAGACTTCGAAAGTGTTGCCACAAAGTACTGTCGAATAAGGCATGTCCTCCTGACAGCATGTTACCGTCTCCAATTCTGATTGGAGATGTCATTACTTTGGTTTTCAAAAAAAACATTTCCGTGTTTAAAAAAAAAAAAGGCGCCTTTCAGGTTAACATACCTCAGCCTTTGATGGCGACTCCTTAGAAACCGACGCTTCTCGAGAACACGCTAGGTCCTTCTTCGGTTTCTCGGGATGCACGAAGATGACGTCAGTGCGCACACAGCTTCGTCCCTCTTCGCCCGTAATGACGCGCTTAAATTTGGGAGGAAGCGAAACAGGCCCAGGCACTTCACTTCTACTCCCGGCCGGCGAGCACGATCGGTTACTGGCGACCTCGTCATTGTTGTTACTGCTGTTGCTACAAACGCTACTGGCATCATGGTCTGGAAGTACACTGTCCCTACCCCCGGTAGTGCTGCTAGTGTCGCTAGCGTTATCATTGGCATCTTCGTCAGAGTCCTAAGAGGGTGGTACACAGTTAAATTAGAGAACTTCCCTACATACAAAAAGCTCAATACAGTTTCAAACAAATTGCAGAGTCTTCAATTTACCTGCGACTGAGCTTTCTTTCGTTTGTCTGTCGTTTGATTCTCAGGTGACTGATCCCGTCGACGCTTCTTTCCTTTCTTCACCTTACCCTATTTAAATAAAATCCCAGTCAGCCTATTGCATCATTTGTTGCTGTAGTCATTAACCCCATTCATATCACGGTTTGCGCATAAGATAAGCCTAAATTTTTCAGGTTCGTTGTTTCTAACCTGAGTCAATCTTCTCCATCCTAAACCATCCTTGATTCTTTAAGGTTTATTATTATCTCTTTGGTGTTTTCTATCTTAGTAAACTATTATTTTTAGGTTTCCTTCAATTTAAAGGTCAGTTTGTTCCTGGCCAAAATAACAAAAAAATACCGTGACCGAGCTCCTTTAACAAGAAAGGAAAACCTGAAGAGTTGCAGCAAAGGCGAAGACCCTAACAAAACAATACAAACAAAGTTTTGGTGAACTTTGTACCTTCTTGAGTTTGTCTTTTCCCCCGCTGCTTCCAGTACTTGAAGTGCTGCCACTTGACGGTGAAGGCGCCTTGTTTATCTTTGCTAGTCTTCGGCTTCCTCCAGACGACTCACTAGTCGCTCCTAAATCAAATTGTTCACATTTAGAAGCCTGGATTACGATTGAATTTATATTAAAGGTTTGAACGCAGTCTGAAAGCCATGTTTTTTACACGTGGTTGACTTAAGAGAAATTCTGGGTTTACATGATCATCACTCGTGTGTGAAAGTTCTTCAGGAACTCTTTGAAGCTGTGAAGACACTCCCTACGATTACTGGCGATGTAAAACCTTTTTACACTTTTTTTAACCTTTTTTTTCGGATAGTCAACTCTACTCAACTTCTTCATTGTGCACTATTTACAGAGTTAACATTAGTTAGTATTATAAATATCAAAAGAGAAATATTTGTAACACTATATGGTTAGGGAAAAGATTAGTAACCACCATGACTGAAAATACATTACAGAAAAAAAATTTTTTGACATTACACAGCTACAAGTGACAAAACAATGCAGAAACACTTGAAACAGAACAGAAAGCACTGCTTTCAAACATTCGTGAAAGGTTGAGGGAACTTCCGAACAGCAGGAAAAACGCCGGTCTTTAAATAGAGTTTCTCTAACATCTGTCGATTAATCAGACTTCCGCTCGTTTTTCGAAATCTTTATAGTTTTAAAAACAAGAAATCTTTAAAAACAACAACAACAAAAAAACACCCCCGAGCGTTCTCTATTTCTGAAATACTTGAGCGGAAGTGACAAACACTGAAGTTTGAACTCCAAAGGATAAAAAATAAACCACAACAGCACACTAAATGTATTTTAGCCACAATTTACGCACGCGTTGCAATCATCTGAGAAACGAGCGTTGAAATTACGTAACAAAAGACCTAAAAATACCTTCGACGGGGCTAGCAGTCTTGTTTCGTCCTGATCTTAGCGTTGTTTGCACTGGAGGAATGGCTCTTCTGCTTCGGAGAGCTAGTTTTCCATTCACCATGTAGCCATCCTCATCTCTGAGTTCCCTCTCCACGACAACCTTGAACATGTAAGGCGGCGGCTCGCGCGTTTCATCTGTCGCGGGAAGCTTGCCGTATTTCTTGTGGTAAATCCGGCAATCGTCGCATAAAATCACCTTGTTTTGGCTGCCGTGATGCCAGCTGCGAGACTCAGTCGTATAGCAATGCCGACAACAGTACAACCTAAAGTTAGAACATTTAAATTAAAAATAGTTCGCGCGCGAGACGTACACATCACGCACGATGTACACATCACGCACGATGAAGAAGTTCGTGCACAAAGCTTGAAGACCACGCGAAGAACACGTGAAGAAAAGGTGGAAACGAAAAACGCAGAGAAACGACTTCAACCAACCTCAAATCTCTTTCGCTGTCATCACTGTCATAATCGTCTTCACTGCAAGAGCTAAGATCAACTGAGGAAAGAACAAGTGCAAATGAGTTGAAACTTTAACTTTCTTGTTGAAGTCTAGGCCACTTAGGGTAACAATCCCTGAAATTGCAGTTTGCTACTTACCGAATTCGCTGACAATGTTCTTGGATGTTCTGGGGAGAGCCTTGCGCCTAAGAACGTTATGTCTTCGACGCCTATGTGGTCGAGAACTCAACGCTGTGGGAGTCTTTTTCCATGTGTAGTAATACTCTACAAGCTCTCCCTGTCAGACGAAAACAGAGCGTTTAAATGAAAAGAACAGACAATGGTTAAAAAAGCAAATTTGAGCAGGTTTTGGGAAAAAAAAAACAAAAATCTTTACCGTTTCTTTGTGGGAAAGCAGTTCCTTCCTGATCTTGTAAAAGTTCTTTCCATATTGCCTCAGTCCCTTGACAAACTTTTTCTAAACGAAAAAAACAAAAGAAAGCAAAAATTCAAAACGGATGTCTAAAACCATAAAAAAGCAACAATATGCACTTCGTCTATGAGAAGAAGTGGACTGTAACTATTTTCATTACACTAGCAGAACGTGTGCTTTTAGGGTTGGGTGGGTGAGTAAGGGTTGAAGAAATGAGGAGGGAGAGGGGAAAGAGAAAATTGAAAAGAAGGAGAGAAACTTTGGACGGCTCTCTTGATCCCTACTTGTACTAGATGCAGTAACAGCAAACATTCAATCATTACCGTTTCATCATCAGACCATTTCTTTTCCAGTTCCTTGGGGTAGGGCTTCTTCACCAGAGCTTGTAAGGCTTTGGCTGCATCGTAATTATTCTGATGAAGCTAAGAACAAAGAACAGTTCTGGTTGATCATCTATTCAGTGTTCACAGTTCAACTTGAGATTTTTAAAGAACCTCACCCAGTCAAGAGTTAAAAGAACCTCTCAAAAGAGCTGCGTCACTGTTTGTGCATCTTGCTAAGTTTAAAGAAATTTCTTTTCAACTTCATCGTTTGTAATCTGCGTCAATCTTCTCCATCCTTAACCATCCTTGATTCTTTATGGTTTATTATTATCTCTCTGGTGTTTTTCTTTTTTAGTAGACTACTATTTTCAAGTTTCCCTCAATTTAAAGGTAATTTTGTATGCAGTAATCGTCTACGTGGCTCCTTTAAACTCATTAAATTCTCTTGAACAGAAAACAACTCACCACATTAAGGGCATTGCTTGTTGTGGCATCCTGAGATACAGCACTGTAGCCATCCTCAGGTGAACCACCATTACACATTCCAGCATACTGCGCCATACTCCTTCAACACACAAACACAACAAAAGATTAATTCCACAAATGTGTTAAAACCTTTTTGCGCAATAAAACAAGGAATTTTTCATCGACAATGTCATTACAACCTGACTACGTGAACCATTTAAAACACCAGCAAGTTTTACTATTCACCTTGCAGCTCGTAGATACATCATCAACTCATAGTCATCAAGAGTTGGATTCCACATCTGATAAGGAAATAAAAAAAGTTAAATGATATCAAGAGAGTTAAAGAAAGAAAGAAAAATAATTATCTGTCTACAAGCCCAGATGGATCACAAGGTCAGCACCCCATTTGACTCTGGATTCATAGCATGAAGCAGCTAGGAGTAACGCTACTTTCCCCCACCCCTGATGAGACATCGCAGGTGACCAATCAGAATTTTTCAGGTTGCCATAACAACCATAATAATAAAATAATCATTGGGCAGAGACATGCACTGGGAAAGTTAAATAGTCTTGCTTTATAAGAGCATGACATGAGGTCCCCACAGATTGAAAGGATTATCGAAAGTATATAAATAACATATATTCCTACCAGCTCTTCTCTTGGTTTTTCTGCTTCCTCTGAGCTATTCATAGGATATGGACAACACTCTGGGAGAGTCGCCTGCAATAATAAACCACTAATGTAATGGTATTGGATACCAAGAAGGGGATATTGACTATATAGAGTGGTAAATACTGTAGCAACATCACAACATACCAGTAATTATAACACCCAAATTACACCTTATTAACATAAATATCTGATGTGGGAAGAGAGAAAGAAGGGGAGAAGAGAAGACCATTATCTAATGGACATACAGTATTTAGATGTGATGCATCATAATTTTAAAGGCAGCTTGCACATAAGGTTAATTTTTTACCTGATGGCTTACTCCAACTCTTATTTCACCTTTGGTATTTGCTAACCTCCTGAAACAAAGAAAAAACAACACAATGAATATTACAAACCATCGGGGTTTGATGTAGTGTGATCACTTCTTGAATTCATTTCCTTGCTTCAAACAGTTAGACCTTCCATTATAGAAAGTTGATGACCTGTGACCAGGTTAAAGCGTTTTTTGGGTGGGGNGGGGGGGAGAGGAGAGGGGGACTCAAGAAGAAATGTTGTGGTGGCACTAAATTTTTGCAGGAGTTTATTTTTGCATATTGCCAATTTTTTGTGTTTTGCGAGAACTAATATTTCAGATTGTAAAAAACTGTTTTTTTTTTCTGCTAGGTACTAATTTTTGCAATTTTCAGGCAGTCACATTTAATTCAGTGGTGGATCCAGACCTTGAGCTAAAGGGTGGGGGGTTTGGGGGGACAGTGCTTGCCCTGCCAGCTTTTTCTTTTTTTACCCAAAATAAGCGAGGGCCCCAGGCCCCTCCCCTAAATCTGCCACTGTAATTGAAATTTGTAAAGCAACATGTAGAGATGTTAAACACAGCAATCCAGTGATCAGCATCACTCTATCACAATTGCATCATGTCCTTGTGTGGCTGATTGCTCCAGCAATGGATCAGCAATAACATTTCGTAGTGTTGTTCTGTTTGTATGTATAATTTCACCAGTGGAGTAAATTTTTGCAGAGGAATTTTTTGCGGGAATTTTTTTGCAGGAACCTTTTTTGTGGATAGTGTGCAAAAAAATGAAAAAAATTGCAAAAATTAGAACCTACAAAAATTTAGTGCCACAGGCTAGTCAATGTTTACTTTTCAACTATTTTCTTAATTCAAGTTCTTCCAAGAGTGTTTCTTTAACCTTGAGTAAACAGAGAGTAAAATGCTTTCTATTTCTTTGATAACCAACCAGCTGTATCTACTTAACCAATGAAAACAATCCCAGTAAGCTGATTTCAAAACTAATTCAAAAGCAGTTCATTGCACCCATTACCTTGTCTCTGGGTTGTAACCAAGTACATAGAAAAAGCAATCATCTTTCTGTATGTATCCTTTGACTGAATCTGTGATCTCCACAAATGGTCGCACTTTGCATTTTCCCCTAGGAAAAAAACCATGACCATTATTAAGTTAGACATTTCGCTGCTTGTTGTTACATGTGTCACAGAGATACCAACATAAAAAAGTTGAAATCCTGCAGGTTGCCAATTTTACCTTCTTTGATCTTAAAAAAATTGTTCACAGTAATGGTACAGCTCTGCCTATTAAACCACAAAAACGCATCAAATATTCAAAACTTTTCTCCCAAAATGCCACAGTTTGGCAAAAAAATTTCTGAAAAATGTATTTTATATGTTTTCTTTCACATTGCCCAGGAGATTCAGTGACCTGTATGGGAGACTGGGAGATTCGGTCTGTATCCACGAAAATCCAGGAAAATTCAGCAGAGTTGTATAGATGGCGTCATGCAAAAAAATGATGAAAGCAAGAGCTCTGCACATTTTGGGACAAACAATTTTTAATAATAATTATTAAAATCTATAAATTTGGAAAGCTGCTGTCATTACAGAGCAATTGGAAAAACGTTTGACCATGAAGGTTGTTTTTACTCACCTTAGTGCAGAAGCTGGATAGACATCTGTCGCATCTGAAATAAACAATTCTCGCTCCTTGACAGCAACATCCTCTAGAATGTGGTCACCAGAACCTAGAAACAAATTTCAAATGTCAGCTGTTTGACTCTTTAGTCGTCAACAGCAATCAGCATGTTATTTGTCTAAAAATGTCATGATCTATCATGAAATTCTCATATTAGCAAATAGGGTTTTCATTAAGTCCTGGTCACCAGCTAAAAAATCCGGCTACCTCAATTTCTGAACTGCCCACTTTTTGTGAATGAAGACGTGTGTGAGTTGTAAAGAGTACTCTGGGAAAAACAGTTTCTTTTTTAGGTTACCTTGAATGTCCTTGTCAATACAGTCAAGATTGTAACAAAGGAGGGGGTGTGGTGTTCAGTTACACTATTTAGCTTCTTTCTCAAGTTCCAAAAAAAACTCTAGAGTTCCAATAATACATAGACTTAAAACCAAAATGTTAGATAAACTGGTTTTACCAGGTTTTACTTTCTATATAACATTTCAATTCAGATACATATTAATTAACAAAATTTTAAGAGTTAACCAATCAACTGTATGCACTGAGACTTTTTTCCCCTCAAATGCTGTCCCTTTAACCACCTTTTTTTCTATTCTTATGACCAATAAAGAATTATTTTAGCTTGCTTTTATTTTTCCAAGTTTATTGGCGTACTATAAACAACTTGACAGTTTGAATAACTAAAATGATAAATGTGGAAAAGGTGTCATGATTTTACCGGAAAAACTGCAGCTGCCTGTGTAGATTTATACACACTAGTAAAACAATATTCCTTAAAATAATGTACCATTTTCTGCATTTCTATCCTGAATCAATAGCTGGTAGACTGATTCTGGGACCTCTGAAGGACGATAGTACCATCTTACCACCACGACAAGGGAGTCTCGTTTGCTCTGATGAAAAAACAAGGACGTTAGTTTTCTTACAAGCCTTATCACACTGTCTTATCTTTACCATCGAAAATTTAAATAGAAGTCCTACACTACTAAGTTGCCTTCAAATTCATTTTCTTATTATTTATTTTGTCATTTGAAAAGTTTTGTATTTAACTCTGATTTGGTAACACATACATGGCAACCATCAGTTTCCAATTTTATCACCTGCTTGTAAAAATAATTAAACTTATTGCCTTAAATTGACAAATGAAACGATAACTAAAAATTAAGCCTTGCACTGATCCAACATTTGTAAGAAATCTTGTAACAGTGATTTTTCTTTTTTTTTTCACACCTTGAATTACATTAGATTCTTGATTGTTACAATATTCATTGCAGTTTTAAAAATGTTCCACTCTATAAGTCATCTGCAAAAAGTCAAATTGAAATAAATTGCAGCTTATCTATTTCTTTTTGAGCAAAACTAACAAAAAATATAAATAATAACAGAAATTCATCTGATGATGTTTGCCCAACCAAACAATAAAACTGAAAGATATGGAAGAAAAACAAATTGGGCAAAATTTAAATACAATTTCAGCAAGGTTACAAGAAGATAATTAAATAATTTGAATCTCTCAATTTAACTGAAAAAATTTCTTAGTCACAAAGCCACAAGAAAACTTTTCAACATTAAAATTTTGCAATTTAAATAACAACTATAGGCAGCTGTATACTGCCTGATAAAGAACAAAACAAAATAAAGCCAAGTTTACGTGAACGTTCCCTTATATTTATGTATGTTGGGGTGTTACAAAGCAAAAGGTGACTGATTTAGTAACATATGAAAAATGTATATTGTATTTGAAAATCATTGTACTTATAATCATTTGTGCTGAAGATTATCAAAAAATTTCAGTTGAAAAATAAATGTTAGAAAATATAAATTATTTTCACCGATTGAGGTAGAACATTGGACAAAAAGAGCCATTTGAAAACAAGATTATATTACAAATCGAACGGAAAAGAAGTGTTTGCTTGCATAAATAAATAAATTATTCTGAATTGAAATCTTCCACAAATTGATGCCTTCCCATAATTTGATAATGAAACTTGAAATAAAAAACATTTTAAATTTTTCTACCAAACAGCACACTTAATACTGATAGGATTTTGCACTAAGAGAAAAAGAAACAAACATTGGAGGTGTAACAGGGAGGAAGAAAACGGCCACCAGGAATCTACAAGCAAAAAGTTAAACATAAACATTGACAGGGAAAAAAAAAACAAAGATACAAAAACTTACCATACGAAACTCTTTGATAGCACAAATAAAATATGCCACATCCGGTCTTTGACTGTCGATATAAACGCAGTCTGTGAAAAGAAGTAAAAAGATTAATTTTTTGAGCGAGGCTAGCTAAAAATGAAAAATTTGAACTCCGCGTGCCGCGCGCATAACCCGTGTTTGTTTTGATGTTCTGGTTTATTTGTTTCAAAATGTTTTGAAAGCGTTTAACCAAGTCCCGTGGAAATCGTGAATTTTCAACATAGCCTTCATCGAGGAAACGATTTAACAAAGTCCCCAGGTAAAAATTGCTTTATATATCGCATCAGCAACGCGACTAATTCTTAATGATTTCCACAACAAAGGTAAACATGTCGAATGCAAATTTACAATTTACACGAGCCATAGGCCACATTGTTTAGCGGAAAGAGCATTGTTCGCAATAGACCGCAGAATCTATAAGAACAAAAACAGAACGCATAAGAAACTGTTGATAGCACGTTTGTCCTCAAACTTCGCTAGGAACAAGATAAATGTTTTAAAAATCGTTCTTTGAAGTCGACGAGCAATACAGAATTGTCAATGCTAGGTGTATTTTTCCCTTTCGTGTGTGATATTAATTACAAGTAATTATTCTAATAGTACAAACAATCCATATCGTTTTTGACACAGAACGGCTTTTGAAATTCGACAAATTTCTCCGAAGTTCTCTTCTGCTTACCTCCCGGTTCGTAGTAAACATCTTCTTCTGAAGTGTAAGTCAACTTCGAAGGCTCGGCATTTTCGCTTTTCTTATCGCTACTAGCCGATCTCCCGGCTTGTTTCCTTCCCTTTAATTCACTGCCCTTGTCGTCTTGAGAGATCGAATTCCTTGTTGAATTGGTCACACTTTTACACTCTGAAGTAGCTTCACTTCTGCCACCCATGTTCATATCTATTCCTCGCCGGCGAAAGGTTCTCTTTGGAGCAAACGTGTTACAACCAACTTCCCCAGCTCGAGGGATCTCGTCCGATTCGAAAGTGGTGAAACCAGGCACTCTATTCGCGGATGCTTCTGTGGCAAACTATCCACTGACCTGAAACATTGAACAGGAAAGTGAATAAATTGTACTTGAAAAATCCTTGTCCTTCCGATGAACGCTCCTTTCAACACCTCTCGACCGACACCTCATAATGTAATTCCTAATTTATTCAGACAATTAACCTTACAATAGACACGCTCTCGCGACAGGAAATTTTAAATCTGCCCAATCCTACAATCTATTTACCTTAAATCGAAGTTCCAGTCAAGTTAACTCCATAAAACCACTGTCGATCTCTTTGCTTGATTTTCAACGTCGGTGGAGTCACGAATGTCGAGTACCTTGCGGTTTCCGCTTGAATAAATTCTGTGTATAATGTGAATGACACCAAAGAAACCACATTAGAAACCAATTGACGGCTACCACTACATAAAAATTTCGGTTGCGGACCGGTGGATTTTGAAAGTGAAATAACAGGGATTTTACACTACTAGACACAAGATCAAACGTACTGGAAGCGATAAAGACAGCGCAAATCTTTCCTATCGTGAAAGTCGACGAGTCGGTGACACATTCTAAAATCTATTGTTTTAAGATGATTATGAAGACAACGACCCACACCAGATATTCACCGCCTTCAAAGCGAACAATTTTTCACCGGAACCTGCAGAAGCAAAAACCCGATGCCCGAACTATAAAACGACTGTTCAAAAGAAAATTGTTTTGCTTTTCTCTCGCTTTCACTTTGGAACGTAACTTTTTTCAAAACAGCAAAGTAAACATGCTAACCGTGGGATTTATTCCCTTGTTCGTGTTTGAAAAACCCTAGAAAAACATTAACAAACACAACTGAATGCCATCCGCCCACAGAAGTTGCCGTTACTTGCTGCTAAACGAAAGCTTGTCGAATTCAAGGAGAAAATTCGCATATAATAGCTGTGCTCTGTTTTACATGTGTTGTAAATATAATATATTATTAACACGAGAGATGTGGACGATTATTGTCTCAACAGCGATTACACTTCAAACCGTTGAAACGACTTGTCCAAATGGAAATGTTGTCTACGCGAGTGAGCTCGCCGTGAAGGCGCAAACATAGAAGAACAAGAATACGGGAAAAAATACAAAATATTTTCGAAGGAGCAACTTACCTCTACAATACGACAACCATTTAACCATTTATATCGAGATGAACGGAAATTTGCAGAGTCAAATCAGGCTATTTCAAAACGAGAGATGCACGCGCTTTCAAGAAGGAACAGATCACCTTTGACGAGAGGACAACCGCACAAATCTTGGCTAGAATCGCTGTGAGTAGTCCAACAAATGCTAACCCCCGGCCGAGAAAATGCTCTCTCCGTCAGCTCAATGCATAAACCGCACAATTTGGCTGTTTAGATGAGCAAAGAAGACAAGAGAGAAGTGAACAAACCGAGAACAGATGGTTTCTTTGTCGATCGTGATTGGCGAAATCAGCATGAGGCGTTGCAAGAAGCTCTCTGATTGGCTGAGAGATCCTTAAATGCGTGAACCCTGTCATATCACCTGCGAGCTTATTTTGATTGAGGAGTTAAGTACATGTCAAGGCTATTTCGACTACTTACATTTCTAATCCGAGCGTTAAACTACTCAAATACAAATCAAGCCTTCCGAATCCCTGCTCGTTTGAGGCAGAAAATCTACGACATTAAAGAACTGCGATTGTTTCCGCAGGGACTAGTACAATTCATTTGACGCTTCCGACTGAAATTTTGAATACCGGGAGCTAAATAATGGTCTTGCTGACAACGATCACAAGTTCATTTTGTAAACACTTTTTTTTTTCCTGTCAATCATAGAGTCACACTTCAAATCGTCGCCTCTCCAACAATCCGAGGTTCAAAAGTAAATTTACAGTTCGCTCCTTGTTCTCGCTTGAAAAAACAGGGTTAGAGGTAAATTCTCGCCCCGGGCGAAAACATAATTACAATCGACGTGCCTTTAAAAACGTCGTTTAGCCTATGAGAAGATATTCACAATGCTGGTAAAGTTCAACAACGTCACAACCATTCATTTTGTTATTGTTACACAAAATCTCGAAAACAAGGCGCATAACAACAGATATCCAGAACAGCTTCAGGCAATCACTGATCGCGAAACATTAAAATCACTCAAGCGACAACGCTTTCAACAGAGGGACTCACAGTAAATAGTCGTGTGAAACTCTTCGATATATGTGGCAACAGAGCGCTAAGAATAACTAAAAATGTGATTATTACACTTTGATTCAAAGCTAACAGTTTCTGTGACTCCAAAAGACGACTTGATGTCGCTCAGTAGGGGGGGCGTTAAAATCGCTTGCAATATATCCTAGTGCCGGCGCGTAACCGTATATACAAATATAAATTAAGCGGATTTTATTTTTTCTATTTTTGGATCCAAAAGACTGGCATTTCTTTTCTAAGCTGAAGCATTAAACAAAACAAACCGTGCAAAGCAGATCCTTTTATGTTATACAAACTAATCTGCTACACCAGCCGCTGAAAAAAAAAAAAAATTGACTTCCCTTGTTAGGTAGGGCTGAGCAAATATACTTCATGTCTACAATCAGTGTACCTTAAGAGTGCACTATCCTTGCATGAATTCAAACTGATCGCGAATAACTTTTTGATCTATTCTTTGAAAAAAGAAAAATCCTTCTTGTTGTTGTTATAAACAAAATTTCTGATTTCTTATAATCAGCGGAACAAATTACCGAAAGAATAGAAAGGCGATGAGCGGAGAATACGAGGAAAATTCTTGCTGTTTCAATATCTTTGAAATATCTGTTGACATATTTCAATAACTTGACGTGACTTTGGTTTTCTAAAGCGAATATGCATGATGCACTTTAAAAAGCGTTTTATTTTATTTTTATATGTACCTTATTTAATTTCTAGATGGAAAGAAAACTATACTTGCCGATTTCTGAAACATTGGTGAAAATTTGAATTTTCGTGATGGTTTCAATAGATACAAGCAGATGTCGCTCTGCTCGTTAAACTGACATGATATAAACACCGCGTAAGGCATTTTAAATGAGGAAAACAACATGTATAAATTTCTTTAGCGATTTATTACTCCCGATAAATTTAACAAACAAACTGTGAAAGTAAAGTAATCGACCTTTCTTCCTGCCTGACTGAAATAACAACCAATAAGGTTGACGGAGCTCATGTCGTGTTACTGCACGCGTATGATGTGCGGTTTTAGCTTAAAACGTGTCATCCTTGGTTTATAGCAGATATTCCAACCGACCCCTCGTTTTCGCTCGAGTGGGAAAAACAAAAACAAGCCAACTTGGCTTTGAATTTACCAGAAAAATCTTTCTGTTATTGTTGAAAAGTCACTTTTACGCTTGTGTGCTCGAGAATAAAAGCGAAACACTACAGCAAACGAAACGTCTGGTTGAAGTCATTGTAAATTGTTGTAATACCCTAATAAGATAGCCCAGTTTATAAATGCCGTATGACGCGTCAACCGCAATATCTGATTAAAAGATAACTACAAATTTACCTTTTCCTTTAGAAAATGCTTGACTTTGGTTATCCGGAGAGTTAAATGGGTTGAAATTCTTGCCTGAAATCCCTTTGGCTGCTGTTAGCGCGCTCTAAATGCAATTATTGCTAATTACAAAATCATTTACGAAATATAAACGCGAGCAAAATAGACATATGAATACATTACAAACATACCGGCTTAATTCTACTAATTAAACATTCATCAAGATCTCTGCGAATGCATGGCAGTTTTGGCGAGCTCAAATCGAACTTTGACGAAGCGATCTCAAAACTTGAACTCTGAACAGTAGCTAGAAAAAGAATATTTCCCACTGGAAAGCTTGTGACATTCGATCCTGATCTGGAACCCCGACGGCTCGGCAGCTTGTTCGAAAGTAGCCTTCCGTTTATAATAACCTTTGACGCCTCTATTCACTCACACGTTTTCAAACAAAAACGTTCTGAAATCTCTGCAAGCTATGAAAAGCTGAAAGGTTTTATACCTGTAAACATTTCGAGTCCTTGCGCGCGAGAAGGATGATGTAAAAGTTGATAATTTAAAGGGTCGGGAGACATCCGTTGCGAGCCCCGACACCGCCGCATCACGAAGTATGCACGCCGTTTCAAATGTTTTTCAAATTCACGAACCAAGAACAGGATTAACACAACTCCGAATATAAATGTAAATGTACACGAAATGTAAGAAGTCACGATCTTACCTTTCCAGAAACGAGTAGCGAGTAGCAATTTTGAAACTCTACTCGACGAGAGCAAGATCTTTGGTGTTTATCACTTGAGATCTGAAATAGAATTCTCGATATCACACATTTGGCCCACTTAAATCGTCCCCTTGGGAGAAGTTATTCATGTTTTTAGATAATCACTACCGGAAGTTGTCACAACAGTGACGTTTGCCAACACCACGAATTCCGTGTTCTCGCTCCCTTAGCCCCGTCAACAACAGAAAAATGCAACTACAGTCCAATTTTATTCCGCACTTTTCTATTAAAACGATAAATTTAAAACAAATTTGAAAAGTTATCCGCCATACCGCACGCGGTTGGCAAAACACAATAAACAATGAAATTGACATCACAAAGGCGACATAATGTAGATTTCAAGTTTATATAGCAACTACATCTCAAAGCAACGGAGCTTATTCGAAGTTATTTTCTCGATGAGATCTTAACTGCCTCGTCGTTGACAAATTTTTGAGCCTATTTGTCATTTGATGCACTTTTTAGCCTGAACTCTGCGACGGAAATTATCAGCTGCAGAAAACGGGTTTATCTTATATTGTTTTCAAAGACAGCTGCATCGAACTGGGTGGAATAACTGATCAATATGATTTCTGAAAGCAAATGAGAGCTATCGGTCGATATTTATGTATTGTAAATGGCTTATTTAAAAGGCTTGGATATGATTATGAGGTAATTACTACCTCCGCTTTTGAAAAGCGACAATTTCTTTAAACAGTAAGCAAGTCAGTTTTCTTTTTCTTTCTTAAGTTTTCCCCGAGCGCTTTCAAGTTGTTTGTTTTTTTAAAAGGAAGATAAGTCTAATTTACACTTCGAATAATTTCAGCTGAAAAAATAACTCGGCGCCACTCTCACAAATAACGTGTTTCTTTTGAAGCCAATATACTTGTCTAAACAGACACGAAGCACAGCTCGAACTTGTGATCGGTCGCTCTTGTAATTTATACATGTTCATGCGTTTGTTCTTTTATTCGGGTGCACACACGCGTTAAATTAGCTTTGTTTGTGGAACAAATGATCTTTGAATGAATTGTTCAATGTGTGTACACAGGCGCTTTTTAACACACGAATAGAAAGTAATGTTGATCTAGGTGCAAAGATCTCCGTTTTGAGCCATCTTTTGAACAGTATTAGCCGGAATAAAATGTAGTATGAGTTGTTTTTTAAAATTTCGATGTTGTACAAATATTTAGAAATTTTACATATATTTCACTCCTCAGTGAAAAGGTCCTTTGGCTGTGAGACAAGCCTGTCTCCATGTGTCTCGATCTGCCGCGATCGGGAATTAAACAAGGTACAAAGGGAAATATTGCCTCTACGTTGGGGGTGGATACTTGATAAAAACCTTAGGCCTAGTT